CCTGAGCGGCACTCAGCTGGGCCCCCGCAGGGGAGCAAGCAGTGGCAAGCGGCCATTTGGGGTCTGCGCTCCCCACGCGTGGGGAGCGCAGACCCCAAACGGCTGCTTGCTGCTGCTTGCTTCCCTGCCCAGGCCCAGCTGAGCAGCGTAGCACTGGGCCGAACCACCACAGAGGGAGGGGAAGGGAGGCCGGGCGCTGAGCCAGGGGTGGGGCCATGTACATCAGCATTACACGCTCACAGACAATGGGCTACTACATATATGAGAGCACTTTTTAACATCCCACCTTTAAATTCTAAGTGTTAGCCTAACTCTGTTCCTAGTGAGGTAACAGGACTTTACTACTAATGTCAGTAGGAGCAGGTAAGCTAATATTGAGTGCGTTGGAAAATTCCAGCCTAAATAACTTCAGAAATGAGTCCCCCACAGTCATAGAAACTGCTCTTGCTGTCTTGAGCTCGTCTCTCACTTAAGCCCTTCTGTGTTCTGGGTGTGTAGGCTTAAACTCTTGTGTCACACCCCAAATATATCCTTTTGGTCAGGAATATTTTGTACTGTCTTTTGATTCTTACAAGGGAGATCCTACAGAAAGTTGGAGACCGAATGTAAACATTGGGTACCAGAAGCAGCAATTCTTTAGTGTTGTCTAATAAGGAATTTCTGAGTTAAGTGTCCATCCCATAGGTGCTTGTGTCTCAGCAGCCAACACGTACTGTTCCTAGTAATACAACAGGGAGAATAGGCACTTTGTTTATAAATGCTGAGTAGCCATCGCCTGTGGGAGGTGAAAACAGACATCTTGGTGACATTGTGTTTTGTCTTGTTTTCTGATCTCAAGAATTAAAGATGAGTAAGAACAAGGATGACGCGCCGCATGAGCTGGAGAGCCAGTTTATTCTGCGGCTGCCTCCGGTAAGAAACGCTTAGATTTGAGCCCGATTATAGACGACCAAGCGAGAGGAGCATTCCCACACAAGGCTACCATTGCTGCAAAAAATCACCAGCTTCTTAAGGCACCCATCCAGTCAGCCCCAGTTTGTAGGGTGCAGAGCAGCAGCTTGTAAAGCGAATAGATGGGTGAACTCAATAGGCATTCTAAAGGCTCTGTAAAATAGTGATAGAGATGCAGCCGTGTTAATCTGGTGTAGCTGAAACAAAAGACAGAACTATGTAGTTCATTCATGCTTAAAGTTGACACTTTTTATGTATGGGTTTAAACAAAAACTCTAATTATCTCACCCATTACAAAGATAGCTTCCCCAATTATCACCCCTAATGTCATTACCTCACAGAAACTTTCTCCCTCACCCCCACTCTGTTCTAAAATTTGATTGGTCAATTTCACATGCATTCATTTTTTTGATTGTATCACTTTGGTATATATGGTTGTGCCAATTTTCTTCCACAGATTGATCTGAGGAAGTGGGTCTGGCCGACGAAAGCTCATCACCTAATAAACCATCTTGTTAGTCTTTAAAGTGCTACATAGTTCTGTCTTTTGTTAAAGGCTCTGTGTGAGAGATTGACTCACACTGGGTATTTTTACTGCACTCCCACCTGTTTGCAGTGTAGCTCCTTTAAACAATCCCTGGTAAACTGACCTTCTACCCATTCCTGTTCATGTCTATATCTGTGGAACGCATCCTGATGCACTGCTGCTTGGAGAAACTATGGTATTGTGAAGAAGATCAAGGCAAAGCATTAACAGGTGGTAATTCAGTTGGACCCCATTGCCAGTGACCAATTCTAATGTTCACAGTTGGTGTAATTATTCATTCAACAAATGCTTCATCGGAGAAGAAGCCTCTTCAAATAACACATTGATGATGTATCTCCCCATGACCCTCATGGAGCCCCTCTGGATTTCCACAAGTACATTGTAGAGTAGTATAATAGTGAGCAACTGAGTTCTGCTGAAAAGGTCTGTTACTCAGCTGCTCCATAAATGAAATAGACATGAGACGTTCATAAAAACATAGGGAAACTTCTGTTTTCCAAAGGACCATAAATAGAATCTTTTCCAAGTTACATTAAGTTGCTGGCTGTGAGATATGTTGGAAATAAGAGTCATGAGGTTAATGCACACTTCTAGGAGAAAAGTGTTTGCTTCCTGTGTTTAATGGTGCTTTTCAGCTGGGTTTCTGTTTTCAGATGAAAGTATAGATTAAAATCTGGTTTGAAAGCAGTCTCTCTTTAGCCATTCTGCCAAGGAACACACAGTGCTGACTCACTCATCTTTCTTTTCTCAGGAATATGCCTCCACTGTGCGGAGGGCAGTACAATCTGGAAGTGTCACCCTGAAAGACAGACTTACTATTGAGTTACACCGTGAGTAGCCAAGATCAGTTGCCTTTAATCTCTCATCTTAGGAGGGAGTATTGTAGATTTTGAAGGAGCGTGACTTGTCTTGCAGTGGCCAAAGTGAGAAGAGACATTGGGGCTTCCCTGGGGATCATGCAGACATAGTGAGGAGGGTGCTCTGAGGAATGTTGGGGTTTGATTTCTGGTGGAAATGTCCCTGGCATCTAATCAAGAACTGTTTCCTGGCTTCCCATTGGGAGACTCCAAGGAGAAGTGCATCTTAATAAAGAAGATGAAAGCTGCACACCCCCTACACTGGACAAGTTTCACATCTTGTAGAACCTGCTTGGCCAATACCCTCAATAAAGAGGGTTACGCATACAACAGCTAGTCATTGATATGGCTGGCCCAAGTGGTCTTTCTCTTTTCTCTGCACCTCACAAAAATGTGCATCTCACTTTTTCCCAGAAATTGTGAAGTGAATATTTGTGGGTGTGAAGGTAAAATACCACTGATTCATGAGATGCATTAATCACATGGGTAGAGCCATCTTACAAAAACAGGCGTAAGTCATCGGCCCTCCAGGAAATCCCAAGAATCTTCTTTCTCCCTCAGATTCCCAGACCTGCCCTGGAGGAACCAAAGGCAAGCTCTGCCTCTTGCTGCGAGAATAGCCAGTGTTGCTTGTAGAGCATGCCTCGCTGCTTGTTCCTCTCCTGCAAAGCGAGTCCATCTGTAGTTATCTTGCTGCAAAGAGCATCGCTGACTTCACAGGAAAACGTTCTGTGCAGCTCCAGTTCACGCAGCAGTTTTAGGATTTCTAAAGGGTTTGGGCCATGGATGCAGCACACAGGTTAGCCATTCACCCAGCGGGCCACAGCACTAATTTGTCTCTTGGTTTTCTGCAGCGGATGGGCGACATGGGATTGTCCGCGTAGATCGCGTCCCATTAGCTGCCAAGCTGGTGGACTTGCCCTGCATCACTGAGAGCTTAAAAACCATAGATAAGAAAACGTTCTATAAGACAGCCGATATTTGTCAGGTACGGGCTGCCCACTCTATTCACTCTGCTGGTTTTGTTTGTCCCCGTACATTATGGCAGTGCTCCATAGGGTATCCCAAAGCTCCTTACCACATCTTCAGAATGTATGTAGAGTGGCTGTGATATTAAAACTTCTCACCTCAGCCTAGCAGCTGGCAGTTCCTTTCCTGAGGGCTACCCCGAAGCACCCTTCAGAATGAAGGGTCATATGATCCATCCACACAATGTGATTTTTGTCAGTTATGCCCGTGAATCCCAGAGACAGGGAGTAGCCTTTCCTTGTATATTTTGTAAATGTACCAGCCTTTCATTTCATTGAGTAACTCTGCTCCCACATTATAATCCGCTCCCTTGTGTTCTGGGGCTTCAGATGTTCGTGTGCACTGTGGACGGTGATCTGTACCCCCCTCTCGAAGAGCCAACTGTGAGTACTGATCCCAAAGCAAACAAGAAAAAGGACAAGGACAGAGAAAAGAAATTCATCTGGAACCATGGCAGTGAGTAGAGCACAGGATGCTTTACCTATCTTACCTTAGCTTGACCCTGATCTCTCACTGCCCCCCTCCCCCCCAAGTCCTTCTCATCCGTCTTTGGCAATATAGAGCTAATCTGCAGGACTCCTCAGATCTCTCAGATCCTGGAGTGAGAGTTTTCTGTACTCAGATGCGTGTGACTTTCCCTGAGATCATGTGCCTGACACACTGCCTGTTTCCATTGTTCTAGTCACTCTTCCACTGAAGAATGTCAGGAAGAGGCGATTCAGGAAAACAGCTAAGAAGAAGGTGAGTTGCAGCTCCTCATCTGTGTGTCAGGAGTGGTGGCCAGAGATGGGAGACAGAAGAGGCGGCTCGTACCGTGCTTAGCTGAGTCACAAGCGTAACAATCTGGGTTTGCATTAGGAACTTAGCTTCGCACCTCACTCAGAGTGCACAGAGGAAGGGAACTGGACATTTTAACATATTCTTGGCAATCTCCTGGTTGTATTTTGAACGCAGCCCTAAGGTGGGGAATTCTCACTGAACAGGAGTGGATCGACTCTGTGTCCATTTTGCATTCTGTGCATCTCTTGCTTCTGAATTACTAGAAATATGTGTGTTGAAACAAGAGGTTTTATCTATTACTCATCTTTCACCACTTGACATACTACCAGGGTGGGCAAAATATGGCCCACAGGCCGGATATGGCCCTCAGGAGCCTCTGTCAGGCTCCCTGCCTGCCGCTGCCTGCCGGCCTCCCCCTGCGCTCAGAGTAGTTCTCTAAACACTGCCCATCCGGGGGGAGAGGAGAGGCTTTGTGCGCTGCCCCGCCTCCAGCAAAATTTTGCAGCTCTCATTAGCTGGAAACCAAATCCTTGCACCTCCTCCTGTACTCCTGCCCCAGGTCACAACCCCCTCCCAGACCCTGCACCCCCTTCTCCACCTCTGCCCCAGGTCACAACCCCTTCCTTCACCTAAACTACCTCCAGATCGCACACCCCCTCCTGTACCCTAATCTCTTACCTCAAGCTCCCTTGTGCACCCAGACCCCGCACCTCCTCCATTCAAGTGCCACTCTTGACCACTTACCAGATTCTTGAGTGGCCCCCCCTTAAAAATTATTGCCCATCCCTGTCAAACTAAGTGGCTGCCCATTGCGGTACAGGCTGGGAGAATGAATTCCTCTCTGTTTTGCGCTTCATTTACACACAAGGGAGCAATATTGCAGTGTAACATTAGGGAAACCAGACCCTGGACGCGCTATGACTTCCCCATAGAAGTGTGGAGACACTTAGCCAGAGTTCCCAACAAATGTAATAATCCTAAAAAGTGAACCCTAGTGAAAGTGATTCCTCAGGTGACTCGCAAACCTGGCGGTGTAAGGGGGAAGCCTTTCACTGAGGGTTCATAAATGAATTCAGCCATGGGGAGTTCTCGTGTGCCATCCAATCAGGCTGGCTTTCGTTCAGAGGTAGTGGTGGGAGCGTGAGAATGGAGTGGAAGTCAGGGCAGTGAAAAGATTCAGCCCGTCCAGGCACTTTGAGGCAGGGGGAGGAAGATGGAACACCACCCTGAAAGGAAGGTAGTGGCAAGGGAGGGATTTCTGGCAGGATGTGCACACGAGGAAAAGTGTAAGATAAAAGTCTTAAAATAAGGTGCTGACATGCGGGATGAGGTGTGGGAGGCAGCCAACACCCAATATACCACTGCACTGGAGGACTGACCGTCCAAGGGTGTTTAACACCGTCTCTTCTCTCTTTCCCCTCTCTGGCCCAGTACATTGAGTCTCCAGACGTGGAAAAGGAGGTGAAGCGTCTGCTGAGTACAGATGCAGAAGCTGTCAGTGTCCGTATCCTTTCTTCTGATCAACTCCGCAGAGCAGGAGAGTGGCTGTGGGAGGCTCTGCGGGCGAGAGAAGTTAAGTTCATCTCTTAAAACGCATGAGTAGCAGCAGGCAGGGGAGGAGGATGTGACAGACACCACAGCTATAGCTGGATCCTTACCCTGTTCAAAACCTACCGCTTCTCCTGAGCGACCCGTCTCTAGTATTTCTTACAGCCCTCCTTGTGGGCATGCCCGCACACATGCATCTGCTACTCCTGACACTGGGCCGACATCTCCCGAGTACAGTCCTTCAAAGAAATAATCTGACCCTGCAGGCCTCTGTGTGAGCCTGTCAGCATAGTGCAGAATTGAGCACAGTGCAGCACACTGAGAGACTGCAGTCATGCCTGGTGTAGTGTCCACTGGAGAACCTCTTCTAGCACTTGCTGTCAGTGGTCTCTCGCTGGGACCACCTCTTGTCATTCTTCTGCTTTCTCCTTGACTCTTCTGTGTCTGCTGTCAGGCTGGGAGGTCATTGCTGAAGATGAAACCAAGGAAGCAGACAACCACGGTTCACTTACCGGCTTGGACATCTCCTCTCCTGGGATGTCTGGACACAAGCAGGGTCATGGCTCATCAGGTCTATTAACAAAGGCTTGTCCTTTTAGTAACTTGCTTTAGCCACCAAAAGGCAGGGTCACTTGGTGTTGGTTTCTATGGGGTTGTTTCACACGGAAGCCTCTGAGCAGAGGTGGATGCTGAGGTTTTGCTCATTGGGATGAGAGAACAGGACCGTGATGGTTTGCTCAAGCATTTTGCCAATTTAGCGAATATAGTAGGAGAGAGAAGATCAGTATTTTCTGGGTCTTGAATTAATCTACTGACTAGCCAGTTGAATGCCATAAGGAAGGCTAAGGACAATAGGTGTGCTTAGATAGACACTGGGTTCAGAAACCGATGCCTGACATCCCTAGGGATGTGTAGTGCCTTTCAGGGAGAGGTGATACGCTGGAATCTGATGGGAGTTCATCAGCTGAGGCGTTTCTCCTCCTTTCACACCACTAGAACATGATGAGCTGCGGGAGATATTTAATGACATCAGCAGCAGCAGCGAAGATGAAGATGAGCGAGATCATCATGACGATGAAGATTTGAACATCATGGACACAGAAGAAGACTTGGAGAGGCAACTGCAGGACAAACTGAATGAATCTGACGGGCAACACCAGGAGAATGAGGGAGCCAACCAGATAGGTGAGCCGTCTGCGGTCGTGGCGGGTTGGTGGCAAGGAAGGCTGGAAGGCTTAGGGCCATTGGGAATTGGCACGTTGCTCTGCTAGTGCTCACACTCAGACTGATGTGGATCAGTTCTGCTGTCAGGTCAGAGTGCTCTGTTGTCTCCCTTAGCCATGGGGATCCAAAAGCAGATTGACAACTTGAAGGGTAAACTCCAGGAGACCCAGGAACGGAGAAAGCGCCAGGAAGATCTCATCATGAAAGTAGAGAATCTAGCCCTCAAGGTGAGTGCTGTCCACCTTTTGGTACTTTTCTTTCTAGCCCGAAACTGGCGTCCCTTCTGGGGTCCTGGCCAGCTCAGCTGAGGCAATGCAGGCTTGGAACCGGAAGGCATCCAACTCTGTGGGCCTGGAATAGCCAGTGGCCTTGCCACATGGAATTTAAGACGAAAGCTGAAATACATTCCAGCCCGATGCCTTGTGACCAATGCAGAGATGGGTCCTGCAATCCATGCTGTGTTCCCTTTACTCCGCGGCCTGCAGGCCGATGGCTGCAGCTTTGCTCTCTTGACATAAATGGCCAAGTTATGTTCTTGCTTGTGTGTCTCTTCCAGACCCGCCTCCAGGCTGTGCTGGATGAATTCAAACAGCAGGAAGACCGAGAGAAGCAGCAGGTGAGGAAGCCTCAGTTATTGTCTCTTTCACGTTCCTATAGAAGAAAGTAAGGAGTGTGGGTGTTGTGGGGTGACACCGAGTGATTCTCGGCACGAGGAAGCAGCTCGTAGCATGCTTGCCCGGTAGTTTCACGTTTCGATTCCTCTGAGCCCGGCATCAGTCAGGCTGTGAGCACAGTACCCCCCTGGTAGAATGCCTATACCCAGTGGCGCTGCGGATTCAGCAGGTGGTAGTCTTCTCTGGAACATGAGTGAGCCAAGCTGCGTTGCTGCTCTGAGGCTGCCATGTTTAGCATGAGATGTAAAATGAAGCCCCTGACTCCCTGTGTTCATTAAAGATACAGAAGCACTTTCTGAAGAGCGGGGATAGCTCCAGGTACTTAGCAGATGACCGGGCTGGGTAACTATATTCTGCCTCTTTACATCTCTCCCTGCAGTTTCAGTTGGATTCTACTGTTTTTTCCCCCTACAATCTGGCTTGCATAGCGTTGTTTGCTGTAGACTCCTGTGACATTCCACCTAAGAAGTGGCTGCATTTCAGTTGTGAACAAAGCCGTTTTTACATCTGTCCCTGATTTTTAAAAGCAAGCTCTGAGTCCGTGCACACAGCTACTCGCGCGTGTTAACCAGTTATAGGCACAACCATCCAACTTGCTATTACCTAACATGATGTTTGGGGCAGAATACTGGGACTCGTGCTCGCTCTTACTCATTCTGCGCTTATTTAGGCTTGGGTATTTCTCTTAGGCAGTTACATGAAGACCTATAGTCTGTAAAAAGTTTTAGGGGTCCCTTTGAAAAAAAGAGTAACATTACCCCTTTGGCATGAGCGTGCAGTCTGAGTGACGTATGCTATCTCTAATGCTTCACTCATGCCCCCTCCTGCCTTCTCTCCACAGCTCACCTCTCTGCAAGAACAACTGGAGTCCCTTATGGAGAAATAAGGGGGGGCCCTTTTGATCCGGGCAAGAGCAGTGCCGTCCAAGCAGGCACAGTGCTGAGAGAGACTGATGAAGTCCCATCCTCTGGGCTGAAGATCTGAGGTCACTGGCACGACCTCACTGCCTACAAGCCACTCCTGTTAACGTTGGCACTCTCTATTCTCCTGGGACGCTGTTTCTAGAGATGCTGGCTGATGTTGGTTGCGCTGGACAGAGCAACCCAAACCATTAACCTTGGAAGAAGGAAAGGCAGTAACCTGGAATTGGTCCTCGGAGAACAGCAGAGACATGTGATTAGCGGTTTAGCTGCACCCCTGGGGGAAGATGGTTCCTTGACTAGTTTGACCCATTTTTCTCTAAGTGGAAACCATTGGTTCCTTGGAACACTCTTTAAAAGGCATTTTGCTTCCCGACAGGCTAATCCACAGGAATTAACCCCCCACGCACTGCGCAGGCCTGGAAGAGCAGAGTGGTTGTTGCTATCATCTGAGCCTGCAAACCAGCATTCCCTGAGGGGAACGTCTGCTTCCTTTGCAGACTCTGACAGGGGCTCTGCTGTGCTGGGAGTTGTGCCCAGGGCTGGGGAACATCTGCTTGAACAAAGCTAGAATGAATAAAGTGTGTGTTCCCAACCGTGTCTGTCCATTACTGCTCATTTCCTCTGTGGTGCTGCGACGGGCACTGTCCCTTCGCCAGCTGGAAACACAGCTCCCTGGTGCTTGTAGTTACGTGGTGGGGCTCTGCAGCGGCTTTGCCTTCTCACTCACCGACAGCAAGTTCGATACAAAGGGGACCCTCCCGAGGGAAAACACTGGGAAGCTGCTGTTGTGCTGTCATTGTGGGGACACCCCTCCCATTCTGGGTAGAGCCCTGGAGAGTAAAGAGCTTTCTCTAATTCCAGATTGATTAGGGAGGCCAATCCTAGATTGACCAGGCAGGGGATTAGAAGGGCAGCCCAGTCAGCAGTTGTCTGAATGCATCGCAGGGCACTGGGCGGAAGGCTCTTTTGTGCCACAGAGCGAGGCGCAGACGGGTAAGGAAATATAACAGACAACAGGGACCCTCCGCCGTCTTGAGGTGATTGTGGTACAGCACAATTCTCTCTGCTCCTGAAGGGGCAGGACTCCGCCTAGGGGGAGTCCAGGGAGAAAACGCTTTAGGAGGCAGAGCAGTCTGTCTCATTCAGGATGGGCAGCCTGAGGCCAGATATGCAGTAGCCTAAAGGCTGTTAGATGAGGAAGAAAACTCATCCCAACAGACAAGGAACGAAGGCACCCGGCAGCTCTGGGAAGAGACAGAACAGCCGTGGGTGCGGCCAGCACCCACAAGAGGTGAGGTGGGAGATCTGCGGACCGCTCCAGCATGGATGAAATGTACTTGCTTAATGTGGAAGGAGTCAAGAAAAAGATTTTACATGGAGGCCGTGGGGAGCTGCCGCAATTCAAAGATGGGAGCAAGGTAACTACGCTCAACAAGCATCTCCAACTGGCTAAGCAGGGGTAGAGCAGGTCAGCTGTTCCCCTGCACCCTAGAGTCACAGCCAGGATCCGACTCGCCAGCAGCTGGCTCCCAGACTCCCCTGCGGTAGGTGGTGACCCAGAACCCTTATTACAGAAATCCTGTCTGTGTTCCCTTGAAAAGCACCGGTAGTCAGAAGAGACTAAAAATAAAAGCAGCTGATTTCTTCTCTCATTGAGTCCAGATCAGTGTAGCTGAGTTGACCAGGCAGCAGGTTTTTCTAACCGCCAGAGCTGCGGGCTCTGAGATTCCAGCTGCGTTTCGTCTGCCTCCTTCCTCAGCGGCACTAATAGGCTCTGCCACTGGAATCCAGCTGGCAGCTTTGTGGTGTAATCCAGCTCAGGCTCCTGGGACTGCATTAGCACAGCAAAAGGACGGAATGAAGGCGTTTGACGGTGACATCCACAGCGGAGGCAGAGATCTAGGGAGCCCATAGTGTGGGTGACGTGGTGCCCTTTGTGTGTACACACAAGCCAGCTTTCGAAGCCCCTTGCGGTGGCACTTAAGGATTTTCTTTGTGGTTCGCTTGCTATGAAGTTTGCCTGCTGTATTTGCAGAGCAGGGTGTGAGGAAGTTCATGCTACTGGAGCCCCAGCTGAGTTGGGTTAAAAAGAGGTCGCAGCAGAGGGCAGTTGTGTATATAACTACATAGCAGATGGTGGAGTGTCTCACAGCCCATCCCTTCGCTCCGTGAGAACAACTAAGTAACACTAAGCTGGGGTCATGTCTCCCCTTCTCGGTGACCCAAAGATGGGAGGGGAAGGAGACCAGGCTACTGCCGCCTCCTGTCCCCTCGCCTGTAGCTGACCCACTGTGCACTGGTCTCTTTGGTGCAGCTCACGTTCCACTTTCAGACCCTGAAAGACAACTTTGAGCGCACTGTGATCGACGACAGCCGGCAAGCTGGCATCCCCATGGAGATCATCGTGGGGAAGCTGTTCAAAATCGAGGTGTGGGAGACCTTGCTAACCTCCATGAGGATCGGCGAGGTGGCGGAGTTCTGGTGCGACGCTGTTGTGAGTGATACCCCCGTGGCTGGGAACACCTAGATTTCAGACCCTTACACACACACGCATTGTGCACCCTCAACACTTTGACACCATCACATGCACACAGGGACACGCTCACAGCCCGCGAGGCAGGATGGCATAAGTGCGCCGTATCTTCTGTGCCTGCCTTATGCCTGGCTCCATGCCCCCTGAACGGTCTCACATCCTGCCCCCGTGTCACAACTGGGGGAGCTGGAGCGCTGGGTTGCTTAGCCCAGCAGCCTGTCCTTCCTCGCCAGGTCCTCCCCAGGGCTTTACACCTGAGGCGTGGTGGGCGTCCTCACTCTAGGACAGGCTGAAAAGCCCCAGCTCGGGCTGCAACTCGGCCCTCTAGCACACGGTTCCTCTTCCCTCCACTGCGAGAGGGGGCTGCGTTTAGAGTGTTCCTGCCCTGCTGGCTGAATAGCTGACAGAGGCAGGGCCTCACGTCACCCTGCACCATCTCGCCCCACCTGCTCTCACTGGCCCGCAGGCCGGGGGTTGTTCTGCACACTTGCACGAGCCAAGGTGTCCCTCCTCTCCCCCCGCCATGTTTCAGCACACAGGCATGTACGCGCTGGTCTCCAAGGGCATGCGGAGGATCGCGGAGGGCAGGGACCCGCTGGAAGGGCAGAAGCACCGCTGCGGGATGGGGAACATGTTTGACTATCACAGCACTGGCTATGCGGACCTGGATGAGCTGCAGAGGGCCCCCCAGCCCCTCATCTTCATCATGGAGCTTTTCAAAGTAAGGCCCGGGCGAGCCGGGACAGGCCATGGCAGGGCTGTGGAGATGCTCCGCTCAGTACAGCCCAAGCTGGTGGCTCCTCTGGGGGAGGGGGAGCCCGGCTCAGCTATCCCAGGCAGAGTGGGCCCAGGAGTGTGAAGGTCTCTCCCCCCCCCCCCACCACCAGGTGGACGACCCCTCGTCCTACAAGCGGGACACCTGGGCCATGAGCAAAGAGGAGAAGCTGTCGGCTGTTCCTGTCTTGCACCGCGAGGGCAACCGGCTGGTCCTGCTCAAGAGGTACCAGGAGGCAGCAGCAAAGTACCAGGAAGCCGTCATCTGCCTGCGGAACGTCCAGGCCAAGGTGAGAGCCGCCCCCCGCTGGACACCGCAAGTGGGGAGGGACGGGCTGAGGTAGAGGTGGAGGCCAGTGCTCTGCTGCAGCAGGGACAGACTTCTGCTCAGGCTGCCTGTGCCCAGGCCTATTGCGGTGGTACGGCGCGCCTCGCACCGGTTTTCTCCTCGCTGGCCCGTGGTATCCACGTAGCAGTGGTGAGCTGGCTTCATGAGGCCCTGGGCCAGCACTGCAATTCCTAAGGCAGTAAACAGCCCTGTCGGCCTGTCACTTTGCTCTCTCTGCGGCTGGGAGAACCGACCCTCGTTGGCCTTCACGGGGACGTTGTCAGGGTACAAAGTCCTGCGAACTAAACCAGACCAAGTGACTGCGAAGGGCCAGGCAGGGCTTGCTGCAAACAGCCACTTCTGGGCCGTGGCCTCCAGAGAGGGGATCCAGAAAGCTCCCCCCGTGGCTCTCTGAAGGGCATAGGCAGCCAGCTGGGCCATGCATGCCCGGGGAGCCCCAGGAAGTGTGCTCCATCTTGCCCTTCAGAGGGAGCTACAGCCCCCCTTTTGCCACAGCTCGCCCCCACGGGATGCACGAGGCACCTCTCCCAGCAGCAGGTGCGCTGAGCCTTTGAGCGTTCTCCGGCCAGGCAGGCAGGCAGGGCTGGTGCTCACGCAGCACATTGCTGGATTTTGAATAGGAGAAGCCCTGGGCTGAAGACTGGCTGAGCCTGGAGCACCTCATCACGCCCCTTGTGCTGAACTACTGCCAGTGCCAGCTGGAGCTGGGGGAGTACTACGAGGTCTTGGAGCACACCACCGACCTTCTCCAGAAGGACAACGGTAATCGCCCAGCCTGCCTGTGCCAACCTTCCCCTGGGCTCCCAGAGAGGAGACTCTGCCCCCCAGTGCTGTTGGCCCACGGCCGCTTCTTCCCTGCTGCCAATCCCCTTGGAAAAGTCTCAGTGGGGGGGCTGGGTTAGTCTGTATTGGCAAAAACAAGGAGGAGTCCTGCAGCACCGTAGGGAAGAACAGATTTATTAGGGGAAAACCCACATCAGCTGAAGTGGCAATAAATTCTACTCCAGCTGGCAGGCCCACTCTGAAAAGCTGTATTACCTTATTGAGACCAATCAAGGCAGGGCATTGGGCATGGAGATGTGAATATCCAAAGAGGGGGAATTGCCTTTGTAGTGGGTTAAGCACAAGATCCGCATTCACGCCTAAGTTGATTATATTGAATTTGCCAATGGATTCCAGTCCAGCTGTCTGCCTTTATCATTGGTTTTGAACTGGGAGTGCATCGTCAGCTGCTCCCTTCGATTGCTGGGGGAAGGGAGCAGAAGCTCTTATATGTGCACAGAGAAAGTGTTTCAGGCTGGCAGAGTAATATTGCCATCCAATGGCTTGGGGCCATCCATAGAAGGCCACGCCCATGGTGCATGCTGAGTGGCAGATTCAGGAATAGGCTGGTAGCCTGCACTCGGGCTGGTCAGTGAGGCTACGTCTAGACTGGCATGATTTTCCAGAAATGCTTTTAACGGAAAAGTTTTCCGTTAAAAGCATTTTCGGAACAGAGCGTCTAGATTGGCA